CGCACATGCATGCGCACACGTGCACACGCACATGCACACACATGCACACACGCACATGCACGCACACACACACACGCACATGCACGCACACACACGTGCACGCACGCACACATGCACACATGCACATGCACGCCCACACACATGCACACACGCACATGCACACCCACACACATGCACGCACACACACATGCACACACGCACATGCATGCGCACACACATGCACACATCTGCAGAATTTTGCATTCAAAAATTTGCCTTTGGAGAAAGGCAAACTAGTTTCACATGAGGAAGATAAGGCAACAGGGAGAAACCCCACACATTGTATACCAATAAACTGAAGGTCTGAGCTAAGAACAAAGAATAGGAATAGGAGGTGATGAGATTTTATTCTTCTAACGGTGCAAAAAGATCTCTAAGAATACATATTTGTATACGGTTTTCCTCCTAAATTGTTTTTAATACACTGCATGAGGTGTAATTGAATGCAATAAGTTGTACATATATGAAGTGCACAATGTAAAGAGTATCACATATTTCTACATGAAAGCATCACAATGTAATAAGCATACATATTTCCCCCAAAGGCTTGCTTTGTGTCACTGTGTAATCCCTCCCTCTTACCTGTCCTCATTCTTCACCATACCTCCAATTCCCAGTCAACCACCAATCTCTTACTGTCACTATACATTAGTTTTTATATTCTTTTTTTTTTTCCTTTTTGTCTTTTTTCGTGTCCGGCAATGGATCGCAAGCCTCAGTGTCGCGCCCGTACAGGACCGGCACCGGCAATGGGATCGCAACCCTCGGCGTCGCGCCCGCACCTCGCTCAGCCAGTGAGCAGGAACCGGTCTGTATGTGGGATCTGAACCCTCGGCGGGAGTGTCGCCGCGCTCCCAAGCGGTGCACTGTAGCAGTGCGCCACCGGGCCGGCCGGAGTTTTTATATTCTTAAAGTTATATAAATAGAATCATACATCACACATTCTTTTTTGTTTGTCATCTGGATTCTATTACTCAGCATCATTATTGGAACATTTGTCCATGTTGTTGCATATATCAATAGTTCATTCTTTTTTATTACTGATTAGGACTCCATTATATGGAAAACATCACAATTTATTCATC